TCTCCTATGCCAAATCAAAGTCGAGAACAACGTCCAGTATTGGGCCCCTACTTAAACAAGATGGTTCCTACACAGATGACAGCAAGGAAATGAGTGAGCTACTCAAGTCCCAATATGACTCAGTTTTTAGCAAGCCGCTAACCAGACTGAGAGTCGAAGATCAAAATGAATTTTTTATGAGAGAGCCACAGAATTTGGTTAACACAAGCCTATCCGATGTTATCCTGACGCCAAATGACTTCGAACAGGCGATAAATGACATGCCCATGCACTCTGCCCCAGGGCCAGACTCATGGAACTCCGTGTTCATCAAGAACTGCAAGAAGCCCTATCACGAGCCTTTTCCATCCTATGGAGAGGGAGCATGGACACGGGGATCGTCCCACAGTTACTAAAAACAACAGACATAGCCCCACTCCACAAAGGGAGAAGTAAAGCAACAGCAAAGAACTACAGACCAATAGCACTAACATCCCATATCATAAAAATCTTTGAAAGGGTCCTAAGAAGCAAGATCACCACCCATCTAGAAACCCATCAGTTACACAACCCAGGGCAACATGGGTTTAGAACAGGTCGCTCCTGTCTGTCTCAACTATTGGATCACTACGACAAGGTCCTAGATGCACTAGAAGACAAAAAGAATGCAGATGTAATATATACAGACTTTGCAAAAGCCTTCGACAAGTGTGACCATGGCGTAATAGCGCACAAAATGCGTGCTAAAGGAATAACAGGAAAAGTCGGTCGATGGATCTATAATTTCCTCACTAACAGAACACAGAGAGTAGTCGTCAACAGAGTAAAGTCCGAGGCAGATACGGTGAAAAGCTCTGTTCCAGAAGGCACAGTACTCGCTCCCATCTTGTTCCTCATCCTCATATCCGACATAGACAAGGATGGTAGCCACAGCACCGTGTCTTCCTTAGCAGATGACACCCGAATCTGCATGACAGTGTCTTCCATTGCAGACACTGCAAGGCTCCAGGCGGACATCAACCAAATCTTTCAGTGGGCTGCAGAAAACAATATGAAGTTCAACGATGAGAAATTTCAATTACTCAGAGATGGTAAACACGAGGAAATTAAACCTTCATCAGAGTACAAAACAAATTCTGGCCACAAAATAGAGCGAAACACCAACGTCAAAGACCTGGGAGTGATCATGTCGGAGGATCTCACCTTCAAGGACCATAACATTGTATCAATCACATCTGCTAGAAAAATGACAGGATGGATAATGAGAGCCTTCAAAACTAGGGAGGCCAAGCCCATGATGACACTCTTCAGGTCACTTGTTCTATCTAGGCTGGAATATTGCTGCACACTAACAGCACCTTTCAAGGCAGGTGAAATTGCTGATCTAGAAAATGTACAGAGAACCTTCACGGCGCGCATAATGGAGATAAAACACCTCAATTACTGGGAGCGCTTGAGGTTCCTAAACCTGTATTCCCTGGAACGCAGGCGGGAGAGATACATGATTACATACACCTGGAAAATCCTAGAGGGACTAGTACCGAACTTGCACACGAAAATCACTCACTACGAAAGCAAAAGACTTGGCAGACGATGCAACATCCCCCCAATGAAAAGCAGGGGTGTCACTAGCACGTTAAGAGACCATACAATAAGTGTCAGGGGCCCGAGACTGTTCAACTGCCTCCCAGCATACATAAGGGGGATTACCAACAGACCCCTGGCAGTCTTCAAGCTGGCACTGGACAAGCACCTAAAGTCGGTTCCTGACCAGCCGGGCTGTGGCTCATATGTTGGTTTGTGTGCAGCCAGCAGTAACAGCCTGGTTGATCAGGCTCTGATCCACCAGGAGGCCTGGTCACAGACCGGGCCGCGGGGACGTTGACCCCCGGAACTCTCTCCAGGTAAACTCCAGGTCCAGGTAAGCAACACAGACCCCAACTTATGCCTAGAAAAGATTAACTCTGTGGCACTCGATGTATGCTCAAGGCACATTCCTTTAAGAAAAAGGAGGAGTAGATGTAAAATAGAAAGAGACAGACGCTCCCTTTACAGGCGACGGAAAAGAATAACAGAGCGGCTTAAAGAGGCCAATATATCTGAAATGCGTAGGGAGACACTGGTCAGAGAAATAGCAAACATCGAACTAAAGCTGAAGGAATCTTATAGGAGTCAGGAATCGCGGGAAGAACCAAAAGCTGTAAATGAAATCGAAAGAAACCCAAAGTATTTCTTTTCTTATGCCAAATCAAAGTCGAGCACAACATCCAGTATTGGACCCCTACTTAAACAAGATGGGTCCTATACAAATGACAGCAAGGAAATGAGTGAGTTACTCATGTCCCAATATGACTCAGTTTTTAGCAAGCATCTAACCAGACTGAGAGTCGAAGATCTAAATGAATTTTTTTTGAGAGAGCCACAGAATTTGGTAAACACAAGCCTATCTGATGTTATCCTGATGCCAAATGACTTCGAGCAGGCGATAAATAACATGCCCATGCACTCTGCCCCAGGGCCAGACTCATGGAACTCCGTGCTCATCAGGAACTGCAAGAATCCCCTATCACATGCTTTTACCATCCTATGGAGAGGGAGCATGGACACTGGGGTCGTCCCACAATTACTAAAAACAACAGACATAGCCCCACTCCACAGAGGGGGCAGTAAAGCAATAGCAAAGAACTACAGACCGATAGCACTAACATCCTATATCATAAAAATCTTTAAAAGGGTCCTAAGAAGCAAGATCGCCACCCATCTAGATACCCATCAATTACACAACCCAGGGTAACATGGGTTTAGAGCAGGTCGCTCCTGTCTGTCCCAACAACTGGATCACTACGACAAGGTCCTAGATGCACCAGAAGACAAAAAGAATGCAGATGTAATATATACAGACTGCAAAAGCCTTCGACAAGTGTGAACTTGGCGTAATAGCACACAAAATGCGTGCTAAAGGAATAACAGGAAAAGTTGGTAGATGGATCTATAATTTCCTCACAAACAGAACACAAAAGGACCCCAATGGAAATAAAAGGACCCCAATGGAAATAAGTCACTCTGTCTGACTTTTTTGGGTTATCCTAGGTTCTCTACACATATGCTGCTATGTATGATAATTCTATGTAACTGTATTTGTGTATACCTGAATAAACTTACTTACTTACTTACTTACTAAAGTAGTAGTCAACAGAGTAAAGTCTGAGGCGGTTACGGTGAAAAGCTCTGTTCCACAAGGCACAGTACTCGTTCCCATCTTGTTTCTCATCCTCATATCTGACATAGACAAGGATGTCAGCCACAGCACCATGTCTTCCTTTGCAGATGACACCCGAATCTGCATGAGTGTCTTCCACATGCAGACACTGCAAGGCTCCAGGCGGACATCAACCAAATCTTTCAGTGGGCTGCAGAAAACAATATGAAGTTCAACGATGAGAAATTTCAATTACTCCGATATGGTAAACACGAGGAAATTAAAACTTCATCAGAGTACAAAACAAATTCCGGCCACAAAATAGAGCGAAAAACCAACGTCAAAGGCCTGGGAGTGATTATGTCGGAGGATCTCACCTTCAAGGACCATAACATTGTATCAATCGCATCTGCTAGAAAAATGACAGGATGGATAATGAGAACCTTCAAATTTTGGGATGCCAAGCCCATGATGACACTCTTCAGGTCGTTTGTTCTATCTAGGCTGGAATATTGCTGCACACTAACAACACCTTTCAAGGCAGGTGAAATTGCTGACCTTGAAAATGTGCAGAGAACCTTTACGACGCGCATAACGGAGATAAAACACCTCAATTACTGGGAGCGCTTGAAGTTCCTGAACCTGTACTCCCTGGAACGCAGGCGGGAGAGATACATGATTATATACACTTGGAAAATCCTAGAGGGACTAGTACCGAACTTGCACACGAAAATCACTTTCAACGAAAGCAAAAAACTCGGCAGACGATGTAACATCTCCCCAATGAAAAGCAGGGGTGTCACTAGCACTTTAAGAGACCATACAATAAGTGTCAGGGGCCCGAGACTGTTCAACTGCCTCCCAGCATACATAAGGGGGATTACCAATAGACCGCTGGCTGTCTTCAAGCAGGCACTGGACAAACACCTAAAGTCGGTACCTGACCAGCTGGGCTGTGGCTCGTACGTTGGATTGCGTGCAGCCAGCAGTAACAGCCTTGTTGATCAGGCTCTGATCCACCATGAGGCCTGGTCACAGACCTGGCCGCGGGGGCGTTGACCCCCGGAACTCTCTCCAGGTAAACTCCAGGTAGAATCACTCTTCCTGTAATTGCTCTGAGATCTGCTGGCAGATTACGATCGACAGTTTAGCCACCCTTGATTTATATTCTAGTTTATTGTGTAAATATATTATTTGTTTAACTCTAAGTAATATGAGTGGATGATAATGTAATACCTTACGATCAACTATGATTTATACAGAATACGTACTACAATGAATTACACGGAATTATGGTCATTAATAAATTACTAAAAATAATTAAATGAAGATTTTCTTTCAGATTTATATTTTTACTGTAAACATACAGATGAATGAGTGTATGACAGTAAATACTAGGTATAGTATTAGTCAAACTAAATAGGGTATCAAGATGCGGGTAGCCACCCTTACCTAGGTGATGTTTACCAAGTTGAAACAAGAGCTGACTATGCTTACTTAATGTACTCAAAACACAGGATGGTTTTCCACTCATACTATAGTTATACAGGATAAGTTTCATATATGATGTAAATATATTTGTCAGTATATATGGTAGTGACTATGTTTTGTATCCAGCGGGCACAGTGTCTCACCAATCAGCTGGGAAGAGCCAGCTGATATTGCTGATACCTTATAAATATTAATATCCTCAATTATACTCATCTCTTATTTAAAACAATACGTTTATTATATTTTTTCCTAACGATATTCAACGGTTTATTTTTTGTGTAATGCTTACTTGAGGTGGAATTTGGGAAATGAGTAAAATAAAAATATTAACATCGCAGTTGGCAGTTGTTCACTGAGGCCGACGACAACAAACCATCTTAGAACTGCTGCTGCTGTAGTGGTAATTCCTCCTCCTGCCTCACATCTATCATCCTCCATTATCTTTACCCCTGGTCTTCCGTGTGTGCCCGCCTCTGCTTCCTCAAAGCTTGCCCACCTGCCCACTCACAGGGATATGCTGGAATTTTTTGTCTATAAATAGTAAGAACCATTTCACTTTGTTTACGTTTTCTAACTTACGATCAGGTTGATGTTGTGATAAGCTGTTTTGTGGGATGTTAGAAAGTTAATAGTAACCTACAGTGTTGTATTATCATTGTAAGTAGCTATACCTACTAATATTTGTCGACGATGCAGTGTTTCAGGCATTTTATATTGTCTTACATTCCTGGTATACTGTAGGCCTATTGCTACTCCTTGACACGTCAAGAAAGACAAAATGTCACTTATTTCTATGTTGATGAATTTATGTACAGTTGTCATTTTTCAATTCTGGATACAAATTATGTGTACTGTATTGTAATACCATCATATTACACTCTACAGAATTAACCAACCTGAATAAGAGGCTGTAGTTTAATACCGTTTGGTGGAACTTAAGCATTAATCTACATTTTGCATTATGGAAATTGTTATTTTTGGAGATATTAATGTAAATAGTTCACTTATGTTGGTTGTGCAGCATGTCTAAGCAAATCAGCATTTAACAATGAGTTGTATCACTGTAAATAAAGAATAATATCTACCAATAGTGGAGTAAGGTTGTTACATTACATTGTGTTAGGGGAGTTACGTTAGATTGCATATTTTACAATTTCCACAACAAAATATCTCTACCTTAAATGCCAGTTTAATATTGTAAAATTCAAGCTATAATTAATGGGCAAAATTCACCAAGCAGCAGTCTTCTGCTATTACTGACATATTGTTGCTGTACTGTAGCTGTCATTATAGCATGAACTATGGTTATGATGTCATTTTTCCATTGGTATTATTTTCTTGTATATATGTTTGAAATAATACTTGTAGATGTAGTTAGTTTTCTCTCTAATGGCTCACTAGGGAGTATCTTTGTACCCTGAAATGCCCTAGAAAATTCTGGTCTTTCCAGATGTGTGACATAGATTTTGTTGAACTTATGGTCTAACCCCAATACCCGATTGAGTATGCCATTGAAGGAAATACCAATAAATCTGGCACTTCCTTCAGTAGCACATTGAAGACATTGCAAGTCTCCAAATGGATATCAACCAAATCTTTAAATGGGCTGCAGAAAACAATATGAAGCTCAGTGGAAATGCTATAAAATACTGACACAGTGAGAATATAAATACTTAAGCAATATAATGTGATCCTTTATCAACAACATTTCGCCCATGCAGTGGGCTTTATCAAGTCACAAACAGATCTACCTGGGTGAAACATATATGAGTATTTATAGGATGAGAATGCTGGGTCAGGTGGAGAAAGCTGCATGTGATAATCCTCTGAGCAGAGCGATAGTCCAAAAACTTGGGCAGCTTTCAAAAGAGATTGGATAAGTATATGAGTAGACCTTCTGCAGTGTTCCTCGATTCTTATGTTCTTATGTGGGATAGCGATGAAGTTTTTTGGTGAGGGGTTCAGCTATGTTATTGAAGCCGTTGTTCTGGTAGATCTGTTTGTGACTTGATAAAGCCCACTGCATGGGCAAAATGTTGTCAATAAAGGATCACGTTATACTGCTTAAGTGTTTATATTTCCATGAAGCTCAATGAAGAGAAATCTCAATTACTCTGATATGGGGAAAACTCGAGGAAATTAAAATTGTATCAGAGTGTAAAACAAATTCCAACCACACAATAAAGTGAAAAACTAATGCGAAGGGCCTGGGAGTGGTAATGTCAGAGGATCTCGCCTTCAAAGATTGCAACAATGTATCTACCACATCTAGGATAATGATATGGATAAAGAGAACGTTCAAAACTCTAGGGATGCCAAGCCCATGATGATTCTCTTCATATCGCTTATTCTTTCTAATCCGGAATATTGCTGTACATTAATGGCAGGCGAAATTACAGGCCTGAAGAGTGTACAGAGAACTTTCATGGCATGTATAAGTACGATAAATCACTAAAATTACTGGGGACAGTTGAAGTCCCTTGATCCTTGGAATGCAGGCAAGTAAGATACGTTATAATATGCACTTGGAAAATCCTAGAGGGACTAGTCCCAAATTTGCACACAAAAATCACTCCCTACAAAATCAAAAGACTCAGCAGGAGATTCAACATCCCCTCAACAAAAAGCAGGGGTACCACAAATATGTTAAGGGATGTTGCTGTAAGTGTCAGGGGCCCAAGACTGTTCAACTTCCTCCCAGCATACATAAGGGGGATTACCAGTAAACCCCTGGCTGTCTTCAAGAAGGCACTGGACACACCTAAAATCAGTACCTGACCAGGTGGGTTGTGGCTCATACATCGGTTTATGTGCAGCCAGCAGTAACAGCCTGGTTGATCAGGCCCTGATCTACTGCAAGGTCTGGTCACAGACCAGGCTGTGGAGGCGTTGACCCCCGAAACCCCTCCAGGTATACTTCAGGTATGCTATATTGTCTAGATTCCTATGGGCATTCAGTTAGTTATTTATGCTTTATTTCTGTTTAATGTTTTGAAAATAAAAAAAATTGATTTTAATTTTTGTTTGATAAAAATATAACCTGTTAAGTAGCAGTCTATTAAATTAATTACCAATTTGTTTCTCTTAGGTGTGGTAACAGGTTGTCTTATAAAGATATAAATATAAGATATGCTTGATTCAGGGATCTGTATGACTTAGATCTGTGCTCCACTTCCCTGAATTAAGCCAGAATGCTTATCATTACCCCCTATCCACAGGTGCTGTATGATCCCCATGGGTTTAGTGCTCCCCCATGATAATAATCTGGGATCTATAGATACTATTTGCAGACATTGTAAATAAATCATGAAATCGTAAAAACATGATTGCATTTACTTGTAGGCATATTTTGGTGATAAAATGTGTAGACTTTACCTAAGATAACCAAGTATAGCCTGTGTGACTTATTTCCTTTGGGGTCTTCATTGTCTCATACTTTGGCACATGTATTCTAACATTTATTTAACTTATAGGGATACTAGAATAATTAAAAAACATTTTTAATTTGCTTTGGCAAAGTTGGGCAAAAATTTATATTGAACGGTGTACAGTATTAGCTCAGGGATGGTTTGATTTTGTGCAAATTGTTCAAAAAGTTATTTCAGGCTCATTTAGGTTCGATCAGATTAGTTTACATTAGGTAAGGTTTGGTTAGTTATGGTTAGGTTAGATTACATTAGGTAATCTAACCTAACTCAACTCAGCTGAACCCAACCCAGCCCAACCATTTTATAGGTTAGTTTGTGTTTTGGGCATACTTAGGTTGGGTTGGGTTGCATTGGGTTTTGTACTTTTGTTAGTCTGATTTGAGTTGGGTTCAGCTGACTTGGATTGGCTTATGTTAAGTTAGATTACCAAATGTAACCTAATCTAAACCTAAATCTTTTTTGGACAATTTATACAAAATAGAACTATCTTTATCTTTAGCAGTGTCTTATTCATCAAAAATGTATATGTAGTAAAACTTGCCTAATATTGTACTCTGCCCACTATAAATTATCACCCAATTAAGCAAAAAAGCTCTTCTAGGTACAGCCTCTCCTCGCTTAGCGATGTACTCGTTTACTGACACCTTGGACTTGTGACGGGCTCTCTGACCAGTATACATGCCTAAATAATGTATATTAGACCTGATTTCCTCTATTCTGTTTATTACAATATACAGTACGCTACTGTATAAACATTTAAAAATATACCAGAAATGTTATAAATGGTGCAAAGGTGATATTAAAACAATAAAGATGGTTGACACACGCCCACTACCATTATAGTATGCTCCTCACTTAGTGACGAATTCATTTACTGACATGGTCTTAGGAATGGAACTCGTTCTTAAGTGAGGAGAGGCTGTATAGACCAAAAAAATTAAAATTGCCTGACGTAATTATAACAACTGCTTGTATACACAGTTTGTTAGATCTACTAATTCCTAGGTAAACAAGAAACACACTTGCACATGTCATCCCCAGTCAGGCAAGGCTAGATTATATTAAACATACATTCTGTTTTATCTTACCTAAAACTTATCATGTCAAGGTCAGCAGTATTAAAATAAATTTAAAACAAGAGCTGAAGAATATCTAATGAATGAAGCTGCAGAAAGATGGGAAGCTACTTTCTGTACAATTAACAACCATGCACTAATACACTGATACAGGTATCAATGCATGGTTGTTAATCATGTAGAAAGTAGCTTCCCATCTTTCTGCAGCTTCGCTCATTAGATATTCTTTAACTCTTGTTTTAAATTTATTTTAATATTGCTGATGCTGACATGATATGTTTTAGGTAAGATATAACAGATGTATGTTTAATCTAATCTAGCCATGTCTGACTGGGGATGACATGGGCAAGTGTGTTTCCCCTGTTTACCTAGAAATTAGTTGACCATTTTGGGTTCCAGCCTGGCAGAAAAACCTAAGGACCCTAATGGAAATAAGTCACACTGCTTGAGTGTTTGGGTTAACCTTCCTGGATTTGCAGTCTGAACAAAATATTCTTCATTGCTTGGTTTAGGCATCTCACACATGCTTATACTCCCTCTTTTTTGTCTGTTGATTTTTTTTTTCTTTTCCAGTGAAGCTGGATCATCATACCATCCTGTTGAAGTTTTCATTTGCTTGACAGCCTTATTGAGAACCCACAGACTTTATCCATTATTTCTGAATCATTTGACTTGGTGGATTTTGTCTTATATTTAAGTCTGTTAAATCAAGGGTTTACTGTGTACATATTACTGTATTGTTAATTAATTTTTGTATATTTCTGAAAGTAATGTGTACCAGAGTTACATGTTTCTCACAATACTGTATCTTCTTTATGAACGTCTAGTACACAGCTTATTTCCACCTGTTGATCTTTTCTTCCTTAAGAAAGAATAAAAGTCACAAATACTGTGGCAGGAACACTTCACAAATAAGCTTTGTCATCCTTGGTAATGCTCTCCCTCACAGTTGCTAAGTTACTACTGGCTGCCTTTCTCCATCTCCCAACCTCATTACCATTCACTTTAGGATTGCTCTTAATGAATTGTCAGATTTTCTTCAAGTTTCACATAATGCCAACTTAACCATGCAGAGTTTGTACTCTTCAGGCAGGTAGTTGACATATTGAAACCAATATTTATCAGAGGAATAAATTTTGGGGAACTGTACTTCTTACTGTTCACCAGCTCCATATCTTCTCTCAGACTGTCTTCTCTATGTCAGGTACTCTTTTATTCAGTGGAGTATGTTCCTTGCTATCCCAGCCTGCTTTTTCAGTGTGTAAATTGGTTGCTAATGTGGCACAGTAATAAACTCTTCAGAATTTAATATTGTGCAGCAGGAATATTCCTGTTGAACATCCTTTCCTGAGTTATTTCTACTATTCTTGGTTTACAATGATGTTTATTTCTACTTGTCTTGGTTTACAATGGACTTTGCAGGTGGCCTACTATTATTATCCTTTGTGTATTTTAATACTGATAATATTCTCAGTGTCGTATAGAAGTGCCTGGTATATATTACATGTTTGTTATCGTAGACGTAATTGCACTTATGGCCCTTTAGATTGAATTCTGCAAATACATCATGAGTTCTGTATTATAATAAGTGTTGGTTATTGTAAACTATATATTTATGTATTTTTAGATCCCATCCCTCTTAAAATATTAACATGACCTTCCTAAATGATTAAAAAACTAATCCAGTAATACTTTTAATAAATAATTTAGTTCATTTAAAGTTGCCTGGAATGCTGTATATAATTATGGCCTTTTCCAAATATCCATAAACAAATTAACTGAGCACCTAGACATACATATGTACCTTTGGAAATAAACTTTATTTATAGTATTATTTATTTAATTTATGTACAGTATTTAGTTACCATGATATGTTATGGATGTTAGTCTCTATTTAAGGCTTCCTGGCTTTGCTTTCTTCAGTATTTGTCCAGTACTATGATTGCCATTTTCCAGCTGTTTGGTATGTCTCCTGTCCAGTGACGTTTCATAGAGCATCATTGGCTTGCTCAGGAGGCTCCCTTCCTCTTACCAAAGGTGAGATCTTGTTTGATCCCATTGCTCTTACTACATGCAAATCTTTCATTTTTTATCTCAACAGCATTATATTTACAAGCTAAAAGCTGTTATACAGCTTCAGCTTATTTCACAGCCTAGCCTATCTGAGCTACACTGCAGCCTTCCGAGGATATGACTCAAAACAGTCAACTAACACCTGTGCAGCTATTTACTGCTAAGTGAACAGGGGCAACAGGCTTAGGAAAATATGACCAACGTTGTTACTCACCCATGGATCGAACCCAGGTCTTCTGGTTGAGCAAAGATCAACATCTCTACCTGCCCAGGAATCGAACCTAGGTCTTCTGGTTGAGCTAAAGGTGCTACCACTGAGCTCTGTCTCTTGTCATTACTAAACCCTCGAGGGTTGAGGGGCTCTTCATCTAGAGAATTGGATCTACTCTCCATATCCCCAGATTGAGCCTGAATGCCTTCCATTTCCTTCCCACATGCACTGTGTAATCCTATGGGTTAGTGCTGGGTTGGTGGAAGTGTATTGGTGTTGGTGGCAGTGTAGTAGTGCTTCTTTCAGTGTACAAATATTCTGCTTGTTCTGCTTTTATTCCTAAATGTTCTGTGTAACTATGAACTTTCAGCATCCTCTCAAGTGTCGCCCATTTCTGTATAAACAGTTGTATAATGTTGAAATAAATTTGTATTGTACAGGGGAGCCCTGCTTTACAGTACTTGGCTTTAGTGTTTTGCTAATACAGTGGTTTTCAGTTATTCCCCATTCTTCATTTATTCAGACTTCCCACAATAAATATATTCACCACTCACTATAAGCTAAGGATGAAAATATTTTAAGGGAAGTAATGGGTGTGCTGTATATGCATTTTTTAGGCCTAGCCATATTACATACTTAATATATGATAGTGTAAACATGTTATCAGGCTTCTATATTCATTTGAAAGTGAAAAAAAGCTGCAATTTACTTTACTGTGATTTTTGCTTTACAGCAGTAGCCTGGAACCTAACCTGTATAAGTGGGGCCTACTTGTATTGTATATGTACTTGGCTTTTTCTTCCTTGTATTTGGTTGATCCATACACCACCTTGTTTTTATCTTCTCTGACTCCTTGGTTTAAAGTGAATCATACTTAAGCAAGAGATTCCATCATCCCAGTTAAACTTTTATTATCTCCTTTGTTAATTTTCTATTATCCCCATTGTTGAACTTCTATTATCCCCTTTATAGTTATCAAAACTTTTGGGGCCCAGTCCCTGGACCCATTATGTACCTCTGTAGTCTTTTGACTACCGCCCACATGATGGGTATGGTGTGCATAATAAAGATATTAAACTAACTCACTATTGTTACTTTCCTATTATACCAATTGTTAATTTTTCATTAGCCCTATTGTTCATCTACCATTATCTCCCTTGTTTTTACACAATTATCACATAATAATGCACCATTATCTCATTGTAATTACCCATTATCTCATTGTAATTACCCATTATCTCATTGTAATCAGTTATACCCATTGTTAACCTTGTTATACATCACCCAGTTAGCCGCGAACAATTTTTTTTTTAACACATCGGCAGGCAGGGTGGCCTGAAAAAGAAAAACTTATCATCATTTGCTCCATCACTGTCTTGCCAGAGGCATGCCTACATTACAGTTACAAAACTGTAACATTAACACCCACCCCTCCTTCAGAGTGCATACACTGTACTTCCCATCTCCAGGAATCAAGTCTGGCCTGCCGGTTTCCCTGAATCCCTTCATAAATGTTACCTTGATTGCACTCCAACAGCACGTCAAGTCCTAAAAACCATGTGTCTCCATTCGCTCCTGTCTAACACTCTCGCGCACGCTTGCTGGAAGTCCAAGCCCCTCGCACACAAAACCTCCTTTACCCCATTCCTCCAACCTTTCCTAGGCCAACCACTACCCCACCTTCCCTCCAGTACAGATTTGTATACTCTCAAAGTCATTCTATTTCATTCCATCTTCTCTACATGTCCAAACCATCTCAATAACCCCTGCTCAGCCTTCTGGATTATAGTTTTGATAATCCCACACCGCCTCCTAATCTCCAAACTATTAATTTTCTGCATTATATTCACACCACACATTGCCCTCAGACATGGCATCTCCACTGCCTCCAACCTTCTCCTTGTTGCAACATTCACAACCCATGCCTCACACCCATACAAGAGTGTAGGTATAACTATACTCTCATACATTCCACTCTTTGCTTTCATGGATAAAGTTCTTTGTCTCCACAGACTCCTAAGTTAACCATTCACCTTTTTCCTTTTGTCAGTTCTGTGATTCACCTCATCCTTCATAAACCCATCTTCTGACATGTCCGCTTCCAAATATCTCAACACAGTCACCTCCTCCATACTCTCTCCCTCCAATCTGATATCCAGTCTTCTGTTACTTAATTTTTTTGTTATCCTCATCACCTTGCTCTTTCCTATATTCACTTTTAACTTCCTTCTTTTACATACCCTACCAAGCTCATCAACCAACCTCTGCAATTTCTCTTCAGTTGCAAAGAGCAACTGTGACAACTCCCACTTTGTGTTATTCTTTATCTTTTAACCTCGCACCTCTTGCCAACACCCGAGCATTCACTTCTCTTGCTACTCCATCTGTAAATAAATTGAACAGCCATGGTGACATCACACATCCCTGTCTAAGGCCTACTTTTACTGGGAAATAATCCCCCTCTCGCCTACACACTCTAACCTGAGGCTCACTATCCTTGTAAAAACTTTTCACCGCTTTCAGTAACCTACCTCCTATTCCATACATTTGTAACATCTGCCACATTCCCCCCTCCCATCCACCCTATCATATGCCTTTTCCAAATCCATAAATGCCACAAAAACCTCTTTACCCTTATCTAAATACTGTTCACTTGCATGTTTCACTGCAAACACTTGGTCTAGACACCCTCTACCTTTCCTAAAGCCTCCTTGTTCATCTGCTATCCTGCTCTTCGTCCTACTTATAATTCTATCAATAATAACTCTTCCATGCACTTTACCAGGTATATGGAACAGACTTATTCCCCTATAATTTTTATACTCTTTTGTCCCCTTTGCCTTCATGCAAAGGAACTATGCATGCTCTCTGCCAATTCCTAGGTACCTTACCCTCTTCCATACATTTATTAAATAACACTAACGACTCCAAAACTATATCCCCACCTGCTTTTAACATTTCTATCCCTGCAGCCTTACCCCAATTCATTCTACCCACTGCCTCACAAACTTCCCTCACACTTGCAACTGGTTCTTCCTCACTCCTATAAGATGTTATTCCTCCTTGCCCTATACATGAAATCACAGCTTCCCTATCTTCATAAACATTTAAGTTCTTCAAAATATTCCCTTCATCTTCCCAATACCTCTAACTCTCCATTTAATAACTCTCCTCTCCTATTTTTAACTAACAAATCCATTCTTTCTCTAGGCTTTCTCAACTTATTAATCTCACTCCGAAACTTTCTTATTTTCAACAAAATTTATTGATAACATCTCACTCACTCTCTCATTTGCTCTCTTTTTACATTGCTTCACCACTCTTTTTAACCTCTCTCTTTTTTCTCCCCATATACTCCTCCCTCCTTGCATCACTTCTACTTTGTTAAAACCTCTTGTATGCTAACTTTTTCTCTCTTATTACTCTCTCTACATCATCATTCCACCAATCACTCAATTTCCCTTCCACACCCACATTCCTCTAACCACAAACTTATGCTGAAAACACTAACACTATATTCTTAAATTTACCCCATACATCATCTACCCCATTGCCTGTATTCTCACTAGCCCATCAATCCTCCAACAGTTGTTTATATCTTACCCTAACTACCTCCTCATTTAGTTTATAAACCAACACCTCTCTTACTTGCTACTTCCATTTTCCTTGTATCCCGTCTACCTTTTACCCTCGCTGTAGCTACAACTAAAAAGTGATCTGCTATATATGTTGTCCCTCTATAAACATGTACATCCTAAAGTCTACCCAATAATCTTTTATCTACCAGTACGTAGTCCAACAAACTACAGTGGAACCTCTACTTGCGAGTGCATCCACGTGCTCGTTTTTCCAAATATGAGCAGTCAATGGGTCGATTTTTTGTTTCCATATGTGAGCAAAATTTCCATGAGCGAGTAGATACTGGGATAATGTGAAATGTACCGAATGTATGTGTAGATGTGACCGCACTGGCTGGTTTGTAAACACTGGCGCTGAGGCCACACATGGGACGTGTCCCGGACAAATCACGTAAGGCGAGTTTATCGTGAAGCGAGGCAAAATTTTTGCATTCAAATGCTTTGTATGGAGGATTTAACGTAAAGCGATGCATTTGTAAGGTGGGGGTCCACTGTATATATCAGGTTTCTATGTTATTTATAGTGTTTATTATGTAAATTAGATGAAGGGAGATAGATAAATAAGCCATAGAGTTGATATTAGCGAAATTATTGAAGCACAGAATTCCACTGGAATGGATTAATTGCATTTCAATTAATTTAAATGAGGAAAATTGACTCTGCAAACGAGCAAATCCAGTTGCGAGCAAGGTCATGGAACAGATTAAACTCGCAAGTAGAGGTTCCACTGTACTGTCATTTTGCCTTACATCATATCTTGTATACTTATTTATCCTCTTTTTCTTAATGCGTGTTACCTATAACCAAACCCCTTCTATACAAAGTTTAATCAAATGCTCCCCATTATCATTTACACCTGGCACCCCAAACTTACCTACCACACCCTCTCTAAATGCTTCTCCTACTTTAGCATTTAGGTCCCCTACCACAATTACTTTCACTTTGGCTCAAAAGTTCTTACATACTTTCTTAACATCTCCCAAAATCTCTCTACTCTCCTCTCTTCTCCAGGTGCATACACACTTATTATGACCCACTTTTCACATCCGACCCATATTTTAATCCACATAATCCTTGAATTTATGCACTTATATTCCCTCTTCTCTCTCCATAAC